ACAGAGAAATGGAAGCATTACGCACATCTGAATCTGTTCCTTGGAGACTTCAGTCAGGGCGAGTGGTGGAACAGTCCTTACGGGTGACACTGCAGTTGTGACCCTCTGGGCCGGCTACTTTGAGCAGTTGTTTAAAGCTGACCCTCCAGCTAGGACATTGGACATCTCTGGGTGCACAGTTCTCAAAGTTGATCCTCCAATCAGCTGTGAACCACCCAGTCTCACTGAGATTGCACGGGTGGTGAATCAGCTGGGGGTACGGAAGGCCGCAGGGATCTGTTCTCCAGGCTGGTGGTAAGGCTGTCCTCCTGGGATTGCAGGCAATGTTTGCTTCCATTTGGGAGTCAGGCGTCAACCCAACTGGCTGGAAAATGGGACTTGTAGTCCCTATCAGGAAAGGGAATGGTGATCGCCTGGATTGCGGCAACTACAGGGGGCTGACACTGCTTTCAGTGCTGGGTAAGGTCCTTCCTAGGGTCATCCTTAATGGGATCCGTGATCACTTGCTTGTCTGTAAGTGAACGGAACAGTCTGGTTTTAAGAAGTCTACCATCGACCATATCCTTGCACTGAGAGTTCTCATCGAGCACAAGCGCAAATTTCGGCAGAGGTTCTTTGCAGCCTTTGTTGATTTTCATAAATCATTTGACTCACTTGATCGAGTTGCTCTGTGGGACATTCTGAGACTTTGCAGGATCCCCCTAATGTTGCTGGACATCATGGCCGGCCTGTACACTGGTACTGTGAGTGCTGTGCAGAGTGGAGGGAGAACCTCTGGGTTCTTCCCAGTTGATCTGGGGTTCATCAGGGGTGTGTTCTTACTCCTATTCTGTTCAATGCTTGTATGGGTTGGGTGTTGGGCAGGACTGTGGGGTCCAGCAGCTGTGGGGCATCCGTTGGTGAAGAAAGATTTACTGATCTTGACTTGACTTGAGCCGACGATGCTATGATCTTAGCTGAGTCAAAGGAGGCTCTGATCGGGGCTCTCGAGAGACTGAGTGAGGAGTCTGAGTGTCTGGGATTATGGGTGTCCTGGTTAAAGACTAAGATCCAGGGATTTAATGACTTCTTGGGCACAGCAATCAGTAGTGTGTCTGTCTGCGGGGAGAATGTCGACCTTGTTGAGAGGTTCATTTACCTCGGCAGCGACATTCATGTCTCTGGTGACTCTTCCTATGGGAGAGCATGGGGGATCATGAGGTCACTGGAAAGGGGTGTGTGGTGCTCCCGATATCTTTGCAAGAGGACAAAGGTCCAAGTCTTTAGAGTTCTGGTGCTCCCTGTCATGACAGCTTTAAAAGGTACTTCTTCTCCGTGTAAAATATGTTTTGACGGGTAGAAATAGTGACAACCTGCATTGTGTGGATGCGGTGCCACGGTGTAGAGTCTTTTCAGTGACCAGTGAAGCATCAATGTGAACATGGGGAGGGGGGGGGGGTGAGGCTTTGCTAGCTAGCAAATTCAGAATCAAGCTGGCCAGAGGGTGGCAGGTAAAAACACAGTAGGTGGCCATTGTGACATCACTACAGGCAAAACATGGATACACACAAAATAGAGAACAGCAATAGGTATACTGGATCATGATGGGCTTCTTTTGTTTCCAGTGCAATACTACTGGAAGATTAGTATTAATTACTACAGGTTCTTTCAAGGAAATTGGTCCTCCTGGTTTTACATATCACACTGGTGTTAATAATACTTGAAACATAATTGTCTGATTTACTTGTGGAATGTGTCTGAAGTATTTTAGATTGAACATGCATATTTTGTCTTTGTATGAATGTCTCCACATTACTGACAAACATGGTCAATGGGATCTTAGCATTGTAATGACACGTCTGTACCAACAGAGGGCAGCAATATCCTTTAAGATTTTAGATCTGGAATTCTATTTGAAATACCTACACACATCTGGAGATCGTAAAAGAAAGGGCCCCCCCCCCTTTTAATTTTAAAAGGAGACTAACACCACCTAACAACTCTTTATAATGCTGTCCTTCGTGACATAAATTATTAATTATTGACATTTTATGTGATTAATTATTTCAGCATTTTTATGCATCACAAAAAGAGTTAGCTAACGCAAGCCTGCATTTCTGAGATTATCTTCTGAGATTAGTCTTCTATTTACCAAATGCTACTCAGTCAGCATTATGTTCTGGACCCACCTTCTGGTGTCACTTTTTGTCATCACATTACCTCGGTTCTGCTTCTGCTTTTGCTGTTTCTCAGAACACAGGAGACCATTTGTGGCTGTTTTTCTCTGCCATATCTGGTCTTGGCAAGTTCCTTCCACCAGATCTGATTGCAGGAGCAGAGGAGTTGGTGGTGAAGTAAATGCAACAGTCTAAAGCAGGGGTCTCCAACTCCGGTCCTGGAGAGCTACTATCCAGTAGGTTTTCTGTCCCACTTGGGTTCTGGTGAGCCACACCGGCTCCTGGTATTTAGAAGTCGGGTATGATAGAAAACCTACTGGACGGTAGCTCTCCAGGACTGGAGTTGGAGACCCCTGCTCTAAAGGCTCTGTAGCGGCTGCTGCAGTGAATCCTTTGATAGTTTGTTGGTCAGCACCAATGGGGAAATGCAGCTTCTGACACCTATGTTTGGTGGAAATGCAGAGCGCCATCATTCCCGTTTTTTTAAGCAATTAACGGCAGATAAGCAGCCAATTGGAATTAGCCTGTGAATGATTGACAGGGCAGTTTAATCCCACCCACCATGGGATGTGAAGTCTAGTTTCGGGCATCACTACTGGTCAGACCGTTCTGCCAGGTTGCCTATTGGAGGGGAGCTAAGCAGGCAGCAGCAGCACTGCGTAGAGGGTCCCAGCTGAGGCTGAAGGTGTTTTGGCAGAAACACCCAGCTGGATGGGTGAAGGTGTGTGCGGCTTCGTATAAAGGTTTCTTTAGCCGCTATGTGATGTAATGTAATATGGCGGCACTTCATACAAACGGGACTGAACACACTGAGCCCCTGCATAATGACACCCAAAAGTGGTGTCTCCTTCATCTCTCCTGGTCTTTGATCATCCTCCCCCCCGGCCGTCCCTCTGCTGTCCCACCCACCTCGGGGGGAGAATCCCTGTGCTCCGATTTCCTCCTCTCATCGTGACATCCCTTAGGGCCTCTCCAGGTCTGAGCAGGGACAGCCTATTAGCGGTTAGCTCGCAGAGCGCAACACAGCCTTTCTCTGAATTACTGATGTCAACTCCGGTAATGAGGAAATCTTATGCCCTGGAGAGCTGGCATGCAGGGGGTCACTCTGGTGGAGAGCCCAAGGGAGTGAGACCAGGACACTGGTGTACTCCACTGCATATATGCATGTCTCAAACATCTGCTGAACACTGCATGTGTACAGCTGGCTATATACTGACTCTGTGCTCTGGCCCAGCAAGGGATGTGGTATGCGTACTGCTACAGCCCTGCAGCCCTACAGTGAGTTGCTGTACAGGGAGCTTCAGTATGACTGTTTAGTATTCACTGCACTGCTTGGTGACTCACTGGATAAGCCCAATACGAGAGGGGTAGAGAGAGGGGGGGTAGGGAGGGAGGGACTTTCTTTGCCTCCAAGTTCACATACACATTACAGTGCGAGAGTGTGTCTGTCTGCACTGGCTTTGTATGTGCTGTTGGTGTGTCCGTGTGGCTGCTGGCACTGGTCTGTATGTGCTGTTGGTGTGTCCGTGTGTCTGTCTGCACTGGTTTTGTATGTGCTGTTGGTGTGTCCGTGTGGCTGCTGGCACTGGTCTGTATGTGCTGTTGGTTTGTCCGTGTGTCTGTCTACACTGGCTTTGTATGTGCTGTTGGTGTGTCTGTGTGGCTGCTGGCACTGGTCTGTATGTGCTGTTGTTGTGTCCGTGTGTCTGTCTGCACTGGCTTAGTATGTGTGTCTGTCTACACTGGTTTTGTATGTGCTGTTGGTGTGTCCGTGTGGCTGCTGGCACTGGTCTGTATGTGCTGTTGGTGTGTCCGTGTGTCTGTCTACACTGGCTTTGTATGTGCTGTTGTTGTGTCTGTGTGTCTGTCTGCACTGGCTTAGTATGTGTGTCTGTCTACACTGGTGTGTCCGTGTGTCTCCGTTTCTCTGTCAATGTCTCTGTACGTTTGTGCATAGGCGTGTGTCTGTTTATCACTGGCTGTCTTGCCTGAGAAAATTCCCATTTTAAAGCTTACTTTTTGGCTGTTTTTCTGGCTTTCAGCTATTTGCCTACAGAAAATGTCTGATTTTATCAAGAATGCAGAAAAAGCTTAAAGGGGAGCCTGAAGTTTGTTTCTATGCACATGGCGTGGCTTTCGCTCTTTGGGCTGTCTGCTTCTCTGGGTTCCCGACTCATTAGTCACTCAGAGACTTTTGTTCAGCCTTTTCAGTACCTGACCTGCCCCACAGTCCACCCTGTCAGCTCCGTCTTTTTCTCCGTCCATTCTATTCTTCCAGGTGCCCTGCTAGCATCACGCCATTGCCTGTTGTCTTGCTGTCGGTCTTTCCCTGCGATCCCCCCATCCCCCACTTCACCACTTTGTCAGTTCACATTCCATGTCCCTTTCTCCTTTCTTCCGCTCTCTTTTTGTCTGTGTGTCTAAATTAATCTTATATGGTATGTGGGAGGTTTAAAGAATAAGACCTTGGTGCGTCAAAGTCACAAGGAAGGGTAGTAAGGGGACCAACATCAATATTAAGATTAAAACTCTGAACAGATGCAGTATTACACATAAATAAATGACAGCAGTGGATCAGGGGTAAAAAATACAAGGATTCTGGGTGCGTTTAAACCCCAAAACACTAAGAATCTGAGGATGTGTGGGACAGATGTCTGAGGAGTGTGGGAGAGAAATAGTGGCATTATTAGTCCTGCACTGTCTGCTCCATGACTTAAACTCTGCAGGATGACAAGCGGCTGCTCGCACTCCAATTGGCTGGGAGTGCCACCAATCAGAACACAGGCATGTAAGGTGCCTTTAGGTTATACCCAGCCCCAAAAAACACACACAAGAAGAGAGAGACTGTGTCTGTGTGTTAAGACAGGGAGGGTGCAGGAGGAGAAGGACCTCGGTGTACGTTTGGTTTCCGGCAAACCTCATGTACCTTTTGAAAGTTCCTGCGGACAAGATTTTACCTGCCTGTTTGTTATTTCTGTTTTTGTTCTTATGTGGGGGATCTTGGCACACTGTTCTCATTCTGGAGCAGATTTAATTAAGATCTCACCGGGGACTAACATACACATTGGTTCTTCCCCACGTCCGTCTCGCCACATTCCTACCCCATGAATACCTAATACATAGAGAGACAAACACTGTTCTAAAATACTGGCAGCCCAGAGGCAGCAGCTCTTTGCCATCGTCTTCAGCGAGTGGAGAAGCAAATGACCTTCTCCCCCGTCTGCTTCTTGCTGTTCAGCCAGCGTCTCCTGGACACAAGGCTTACTGGAGAACTCAGAGTCGGAAGGGGCATATTCTGGCTACAGAAGGAGACCGCGGACCACGTTCAGGAGTGAAGGCATGATTTTGGGTGAGTTGGCGCAAGCTGGAACCACTTGTTATGCTTCTCTACAGAAAACTCACCTTTGGTTTGAACTTGCCAGTGAAACGGCAATATGTGTGGCAGGGAGACAGACACTCAGGAAATCAGCCTGAGAGACACTGTTCATGCCAGTTGGTCAGGTAGCAGAGCTGCAACATATGCCTCAGTGATTGGATGTACAATTAGAGTATAACAGGTAAGTGCACATAAGCAGCTTTAGGAGCAGATTGCTGTTGCCTCCACAAGACTGAGTTGGCTTTCGTGTTTTTCGCCTTAGATCTCGCAAAGAAAACAATAACCGAGAAAAATCCATCTTTCCGCCTGAATTATTCTGAGCCTGATTGATATTTCCTGCCCAAAGCCAAGCATGTCGCTTCAGCAGGTAGCAGCACAACAGCTACTAGCCAAGGTCACTCGTGCTTCATGTGCAGAAAACACGAGTAAAGCTTCACACTGCTGATTTCTGCACGATCACAACCTATAGTCTGAATTTTTACCACAAGTCCAGCACACATCTTTGGCGGTTTGGTCTTTGATATCATAATGTCCATGATGTGTTTATGTCTGCCTATCGCTTTCTATCGTCGTGCCTTAGTCCTTCTTAGGATGCCAGCACTGCCGTCCAGGCTGTTTACCGTCCTTTAGTCGTGGCTCCGAGAGGCTGAATGTGGTCATGCGTTCATGCTCCAGACCTGGCAAGCCGCGTTGTTGAGAAACGTGTCCGGACAGATCTGCCTCCCTCTCTGGCCCCCCCCACACCGCCCCCCACCCCCATCTGCTCTTGTGCTACCACCCCTGGAGCAGGCCAGCGTAGAGCTCAGGCTGAGGCATCACCTCACATTGCACTCGGCGTAGCGTCTGCAGCACGGCCCCGAGGGGCCACGTGGCCCCCTGCTCTGCAGCACGGCCCCGAGGGGCCACGTGGCCCCCTGCTCTGCAGCACGGCCCCGAGGGGCCACGTGGCCCCCTGCTCTGCAGCACGGCTCCTGTTATTTTGACATTGTTGTTATTTTGGTCCCCACAAGGGGAAACTCAATTGTATAAAAATCTGTGATTGAAATCAAAAAACTAAAAATGCCAGAAGTCTCATATTTTGTCTGGTTACTTATGGTTAGTTAGGGCTGGGTAGGGGTTAAGGTCATCATTGTTGGGATTAGGGTTATACCCATGGAAATGAATGGTTTTTATGGGCTTTGCTCCCACAGTCTGTGATGGAGGGATGAAAGAGAAAAAGCCTGTTAATGATCATCTTTGGTCCCTGAATTCGCCACTCTTCAGTTCTCAAATGGAGACCTTTATTGCGGATCAAACAAGCCCAATTACGCCTGCAACACTGGCTCTCTATCAGAGCGTCAGTAAACCCGCAAGGTCACCTGACCATAAATGAATGCAACACAAAATCACCGGCAGTACATGCAGTTGTAATAGCCTTTGTTTGCACCTAGTCCTTTGCAATAACCTGATATGTCTACTGAACTTTTGCTAATATCTCTGTTTTTGTAGTACATCCATTTTTGGAAAAAATACAGTATGACAAGCAATTTAGTCTATGAACCATTTGGAAACATATTCTACTTTGCCACCTGTATGTAATATTGATAACAATAATAAGTAAAAAGGAAATGTTTAGCTTTTATGGAGCAGATGTTAGTGTCATACTGTGTTTATTTTAATAGGATGTGCATTCATTAACCTGACAGGCGGCAAAACAATGGACGCTCTGAATTCTGACTTGATCTCTAATGCGAGAGGGAGTTGGTATTCTCTTTTAGCAAGTTTCCTCATGTACGTGTTTCCTTCTATCTTGTGTTTGATCAGTTTTGTATTTCTACAGAGTGGGATTTTGAAAACTCTCCAACCCAGATATAATGGTGAACTTCAGCAAATTCATATCAGGAGAGCAGGCCCTTGCTGTATGGGTGCTAATGATGCTATTTTGTAATGTGTGTTAAAGTGTTACCACAGTCATTATACTCTACGAATGGATTTATGTCTGAGCGCAGTGTGCGAGACAAAGGAAGTCAAAAATTCTTTATTATGACCTTGAGCTAAATCACTTTCTCTGTTAATGTTTCTGCACCACGTGATGACAGGGAAAGGGAGTCTCTCTTCGGGGAATCGTATATATATTTTTCCACAGAAGAAATGGGCTGCTATTCCTCAGCGTTTGACATTACTGATGACACATCACTCTTTGTAGCTTCAAAGGCAAGGGCAGGAAGAGGGTGATGCAAAGGGAGGAAGACAAGGAGGTGTGGGGAGAAGAGAGAGCGCTCCTGTCCCGGCTCCCCTTCATGCCGTCTAACATTTTGCATCAAATCAAAAGGCTGAGAGGCTCCCTGGCCAGTGTGGTCTCTAGTGTCACAGAAGAAGAAAGGTCCCCAGCACTGAAGCTTGATTGAAGTTTGGAGTAGCTTGGAGTAGTGGGTACTGTGCTGGGTTAGGGAGCTACCAGCAGCCAAAACTATATTCCCAGATCTCTTAGGGGCCGTCCTCAAGTGCATACCTTCAATAAAGTGTTGCATTGAAGGAGGGATGAACAGCTATGAAATTTGGTACAGTTTAAAAAACAGCTGTTAAAAAATCACTTTGGGTAGAAGTGTTTTCCAAGTTAGATTAACATCCCACAGCTCAGCTGCGATCTCGTCTCATTTGCTCATCTTCTCTACCAGAGAGCTGCAGATCTGCTTCACTCATGTCAGCGCAGTTGCCAAGGTTGTTTTCTGGAACCGTGTCCCATTCAAATGTTAGTTCCCTGGTCCTCAGTGTTTGCCCATTCGGGATGGCATGCTTGTCCATCCCTGTCACTTCTTGTGAGTTCAGATTATCTTCATTATGTGTCTGTGTGACAGCCTTGCATTCTTTTCTTTAGTCTCATATTTTCCTCCATCCATCCCCTGCCTTCCCTGCCTCTGCTCTGCTCAGCATGTGCATTCAGCTGTTTGTAGAAGTCTGAAGAGAGTATAAAAAACCTTTTCAGTGGCTTGTTTTTTCACCCCTCAGTCACTCTTTCCCGCTTCCCCATCTCCCATCTATGCTCATTTTTTTGATGGCCTTTTTCTCCCCATGCCCCACACCAATAACCCCCAGTGCCTCAAAGCAAATCCCTTTCTAGAGTAGAAAACGAGGATTTCTCCACCTTCTGTTGCACATCTGAGCCCGAACATTCCAGCAGAAGGCTATATCTTATCCTTCATAAAATGTTAAAAGCCTCTCTTGTAGCTTTACGTCAATATTTTGATTAATATGTATGAAATAGACTAGCACTAGGTTAGAGTAACTTTCCCGCAATATTTTTGCTTTGCTTAATGAATTTATTTATAGAATTATCATTTAATAAATCTAGCTGTTTCATGTTGCATTGTCACAAATATGCACTGTTTCCAATCGGCCTGTTCACAGTAGGTGTGATGGACACCAATGAGTATCTGCTGACTTGAGGTGTGTGAACCCAGCCCACGTCAATGGTACCATGGAACTAACCAGTGCTGACCCCTCCTCATTCAGGACTCCCCCGCTTTAGGACTGCAGCAGGCAGCTCAGTCACACAACGCGTGCAAGGCCAACGCCGTCCCAGTATATAGTGAAGTCTTGGGCGGTTTTCATATACATAGACAAAGACACGAGGCTCTGCTTCATGAGTAGCCTTGTCTTGCCTTCTCTCTTTTCATTGCATGATGATGATGATGATGATGATGAAACCAGGCTGAAGCTGTCATACATGTACTCATTTCACATCTTCGATCTGGTGGCCTTATGATGAAGTGCAGCCTCAGACTCATGTCTTACCCTGCTCTGGCTAAAGCTCGGAAGACCACATTTAATGAGGACAGTGGACACAAGTTCTCCATGTGGCTAAATAATTTGGTCAACAGAAAATTCGCTCAGCCGGCAAGGTGGTGCAGTGGTTAGCACTGCTGTTTCACAGCAAGAAGGTCCTGGGTTCAGTCCCCAGATTGGGTGTATGACCTTTCAGTGTGGAGTTTGCATGCTCTCCCTGTGTATACATGGGTTTCCACTGGGGACTCCAGTTTCCTCCCAAAGTCCAAAAGTGTGCAGGATAGGTTAATTGGGGACTCTAAGTTGGCCCCATGAGTGTGTGTGCCCTGCAGTGTGTTGGCGACTGGCCAGGGTTGGTTCCTGCCTGCACCCATTGTACCCGGGATAGGCTCTGGTTCCCACTGCGACCCCAGTTGGGATTCAGTGGTTATGGTGATGGATGGCCACCCTCATGCTCACACTGCGAAGTCATTAGCAAGTGTCACTGTTGCTTTGATAGACCATTGTGGGGAAAAAAAATCTTCTCCAGAACTCTGCCATTGTATCACTGTTTTATCCATGCCAACCCTGCTGAAAAAAAAAACAGTTTCACCAGATTAAGCTGGTTGAGCAGCTTATGGAATGTTTTTGCATGATGGTTTGATGGGTCAGCTGGTTATACCAGCTTGATAGTCATTCTAGCTGGTTTAGCTGATCATACCACCATGAGCAGTTTTTGACGCACCCAAATAAACCATTAAAAAGCAGCCAGAGCTGGACATGGCCATCTTAATAGGCTGATTTTAGCTGTTTTTTTCTCAGCAAGAAATACTAGAGGACACTTTTGTGTTATTGTTCCTCGTGTGAAGTGACTTGTAGTCTTGTATACATCTTTTGCCCAGCAGAATTATTGAGTGTAACATAGCAGCAGCTTGTCTTGGAACATAGAAATATTTGTATTTGCTATTATGCTAAAGTTAAGCGTGTGTTGAGCTGTGTTAGTTGAAACACAGATATAAGACTTTTCTCACAAAGGTCATGGCATAGCAGAAATACAAGAAAGACAGGCCTCTAAAGTAATTATCTAAGTCACTTTGTGAAAAGTCTCAAACCAAATGAATAATAAATAGACACATTCACGCACATTCAAACAGAATGCATAAGAACAGCAGACTGTCAATGGTAGCTATACAAAATTCAATCTCTTCCTGCGCAGATGGTGCTTAAAG